TGGGATCTTACCATACCACATAGTAGTTTACCATTTCTCTCTGCTTGACGAGAGAAAGGATTAAATTGTTTCTGAATAAGACTGTGAGGAGACAATTAAGCAGATTTTAAGAACATGTTCTATTGTGTCCACAATGTGCTTTATTCAAAGCTTCAGGAAAAAAAAATAAAGTCCTCAAAAGAGACAGAGCAGTAGTTTAAAAGCTAGTGTAACATTCTGAATAAAGTATTATGTTTATCATCAGGGAACATCAAATGAGAAAAATAAATGAAGTAGGAGCAGGTTTGGACACACAAAATAAAAACACGGCATATTTGCCTGTTTTTTTTTTCCTGACTTGAAATAGAAAAAGACAAAATGAAAATGAAGGCAACAGGAATAGGACATGGAAGTCTTCTGTGATATTATCAGACAATTCTATTTTAGAAGACAGATGAAGAACAGAACAATTTGAAACTAAATATGACATCAATGACTCTTAAATTAGGGAGCAACAGGAAAATGTGCTATTAAAAACTTTCAATGTCTGAGTTAAAATGGCTCCTGAAAGTCTGTGAAGAGGCTTAAAGCATAAGGAAAGGCAGAAGCAAAATTCTAATTAAGTCACAAAGTAAGGAAATAACAAATATGGTATCTTTCTTAAATTTTGCTACGTATTATAACAAACTTTAAGTCTCACTATTAACTTATAAAATAACACATACTGCATAATGAATGAAAAACAGATTGAAAAATAATCAAGAGCTTCCTTTTCTCTGTGATAAGGCAAAGTATCATTAATGAACTCAAGAGTACCTCTTTCAGGCTAGAAACAAGGGAAAACCAGCTAGTGTATTTGTACACATTGCTGCTATTATATTGATATGAAATGATTAAGTTACAGCGAAGACCAGAGAATTTTATCAAGGTAGAAACAAGTAAGAAAGGAAGGGCTTCTGAATCAAAAAGATCTTGGCCAGTTTGTTTAAAATGTTTTCATACATTATTGAAAATGTCTATGTGACTAGTTGCTTCTTCCCTACACGCAAATCCTGGAGGCTCCTGCCACTTGATTTCTTTCAAAATCATTTAAGATAATTTCTAAGGAAGACTTAGAATTTCCCAAGGTCTACAAGGTTAGATCAACTGTTTAGCATATGCATTCCTAGCACTACACACACACACACACACACACACACACACACACACATCTACAGATAAACTAAACACTTTAAATAAATAAAACTTTAGATAGCAGAAACTTCTAGTGAAGAGACAAGACATAACAGATTAAAAATCTAAACCATTGTCTACTCTATACCCCTTTGCACTGAGATTAATATGTCCCCTCTTGAGCCATTCATGTTTATGGCTTCTTTGGGTCTGTGGACTACATGGTTATCGTTTATGGCCAATACCTATCCACCTATGAGTGGATGTTTGTCTTTCTGGATCTGGGTTACCTCATACAGGATGACCTTTTCTAGTTCCACCCATTTGCCTGCAAACTCCATCATGTTATTGTTTTTAATAGCTGAGTAATACTCCACTGTGTAAATGTACCACATTTTCTTTATCCATTCTTCAGTTGATGGACATCTAGTTTATTTCTAGCTTCTGTTTATTATGAATAAAGCTGCTATGAACATAGCTGAGCATGTGTCCATGTGGTATGGTAGAACATTCTTTGGGTATATGCTCAGGAATAGTATAGCTGGGTCTTGAGGTAGACAGACTCAATTTTCTGAGAAGCCACCATACTGATTTCCAAAATGGCTGTACACGTTTGCACTCCCAACAGCAATTGTATTCCTCTTGCTCCATATCCTCTCCAGCATGAGCCGTCAATTTTGTTTTTGATCTTAGTCATTCCGACATATGTAAGATGGAATCTTAGAGTTGTTTTGATTTGCATTTCCCTGATAGCTAAGGATGTTGACAATTTCTTTAGGTGTTTCTTGACCATTTATGATTCTTCCATTGAAAATTCCCTGTTTAGATCTGTACCTAATTTTTGAATTGAATTTTGTTGATGTCTAGTTTCTTCATGCTAGAAGGTACTCCGTAGAATACCAGAAGAGAAAAATAATCACCCATCTACAAACCCTGTGCTCTACAAAAGAGAGCTGACTACAAGATGTACTAATGCTATAGTGGCACAAATGTTAGGAGAAAGAGCAACAACTTTTTGATTGGATTTGAGATCCACTTCATGAAATGGAAACCATACCAGACACTGTTAAAAAGAGACCAAGAATCTGAAACTAAATTGGTTATGGTGCTGGGGGAAAATCTATTACCATTATTCTCTGAAAGAAACATAACAATAAAATAACTCATAGTAGCATCCTGATATACCCATATATCGGCATATACTTCAACCCTTATCTGAGAATCTTCTTATTGAAGTAGATGGTTAGTAAGAGACCCACAACTAAAGCCGGGTGGTGGTGGCGCACGCCTTTAATCCCAGCACTTGGGAGGCAGAGGCAGGCGGATCTTTGTGAGTTCGAGACCAGCCTGGTCTACAAGAGCTAGTTCCAGGACAGGCTCCAAAACCACAGAGAAACCCTGTCTCGAAAAACCAAGAAAAAAAAAAAAAGAGACCCACAACTAGAAAATGGACAGAAAGTGAGGGACTTTGGAACACTCAGTCCTAAATGGGAGGTCTTCATCAAATCCTTCTCTGTAAGGCTAAGGGATCTATGTAGAAGAGAAGACAGGGTAGACATCAGAAGTGATGGATGACTCGTAGGAAACAGTGTCTTTCAGATATAATAGGAATGATGTACATATGAACTCACATAGACTTTGGGAGCACACAGAGACCTGCATATATTCAAGCTAGACAAAAATTCCAGCACTAAGAAGGGGAAGTGGATTCTAAGTTCCACCCCTAACTAAGAAGCTAATACCTTATAGGAAAGGGGAATAAGTTTTCTCCAATAGAGTCTAACTGGGTTTAGCAACCTCACTCAAGGGCAGGCACTATGCCCAAGAGTAGCTGGTCAATACAAAACGGACTTTTTCTTTTTATATTATTTGAGATTTTTTTGTCTTATTAGTCATTTTTATTATTATTATTTTTTTTTTGATTTACTGTGGGTTTTTTTGTGTTGTTGTTAAAAGGAGAGAAAGAGGCCAGGCGATGGTGGCGCACGCCTTTAATCCCAGCACTCGGGAGGCAGAGGCTGGAGGATCTCTGTGAGTTCGAGACCAGCCTGGTCTACAGAGCTAGTTCCAGGACAGGCTCCAAAGCCACAGAGAAACCCTGTCTCAAAAAACAAAAACAAAAACAAAAAAAAAACCAAAAAAAAAAAAATAAAAGGAGAGAAAGAATATGAAGTTGGATGGACAGGGATGTGGGATTTATTTGTAAGGAGCCAGGGAAGGGAAAAAACATATGATTTTTTAAAATTAAAATGTATAATGTTTCGTTACACATAGACTCCATAATCCAATGTATTTGTAACGTATCAACAGCATTTGACATTTACTATATACAACAATACTTTGTTATTCATAGACATACTATTACATGCTTTATAAACATTCTGGAGCTCACAAACTGGGAGAGAATCTTTGCCAACTCTTTATCTGGCAGACAATTAATATCCAGAATATAAAGAACTCAAATCCCAGAGTTGGGCTTTGCACCTAGACAGTGTTTTCAAAAGAAGAAAAAAATGACTAAGAAATATCTCAGAAAATGTTCACTGTCCATAGCAATTAGAAAGATGCAAATCAAAACAGCTTTGAGATTTTTGTCTCACCATGGTATGAATAGCAAAGATCAAGAGAGCAACTGAAAACATATGAAGAAGGGATGCAGGAAAAAGAAACTCTTGTTCACTGCTGGTGGGATGGGAAAGCAGTGCAGCCGCTGTGCAAATCAATATGTAGATGCCCCAAAAGGCTATAAATAAAATCACGTGATCCACCAATAACACTTCTTTACATATGTCTACAGGATGCTACATACTACGCTGGAGATACTTGCTTAACCAAGTTCATTGCTGTTTCTATTCTAGAAAATGCAAAAAAACCTAAATGTCCTTCAACTGAGAATAAAAGTGTGGTACATAAACACTATGAAATACTATTCAAATAAAAGAAAAATGAAAGCATGAACTTGCATATAAATGGATGGAACTAGGAAAGATTATATTGAGTGAGGTAACACAGAAAGACAAATGTCACATTTTCCCTCTTTGTATTTCTTGAAATACACAGGAAAAAAATACAAAGGAAAAAAGAGTCAAATGTGATGATTATGTAAAATGTTTCTACATCTCAGTGATCTAGAAATAAATATCCCAGAGGGTTAACTGAATTATGTATTGTTTTAGTTTGGACGTGAAGTGTTTGCCAAAGTTCTGTGTATTGAACACTTGCTTCCTAGGCGGTGGTGCTGCTTTTCTATGTTTCTAGAAACTTGAACTTGCACCTACCTAAAGGAAGTGAAACAGAGAAGGGAAACCCACTTCAACCTAGGGCACTGGGTAAACGTTAGCACCGAAAAAATATCACTATTAGGATTAATGGCAGGTCCTATTATTTCATGCTGTTATCACTCTTGATGTTCATTTTCTGCAAACAGGCAAAGAAATTGTCTGTGTTAAATTCAACAATGAACAATTAAAGGCTGAAGTTGTGCCTTAGTTCTAGATCACCTGAAATACATGAGGCTGTATGTTCATTTCCTAGTATGATAAAAGGGGGAGAGGCAAATTTTTAAAGAGATAGGTATATCCATATTCATTGCTTCTATTCATTCTATTGTAAGAAGTACCAACTAGAACAATCTAGACAAGGTAATAAAAGGTGTCCACATTGGAAAAATAGTGACTTCTTACAGATGACAGAACTTTCTGTAAAGACCTTTACCAACATTAAATAATACATTGTACAATGTATAAATTACCAAAACAGTATATTATCTAATATGCATTTCAGTCTTACAGATCAGTAAAAAGTATTAACAGGAGAATTTAGAGAGAGAGAAATAGTCCTGGGCTTACATGTGCCTTTCATGCATGTCATCGTTGAAGAGCATAACTCAATGACCCGAACAGCAAAACTTCCTGGTTCTTCTGCTGGCACTGTCATAATGGAGACCTGAAGACCAGAACAAGTAACAGAAAAAACTGTTAGGTCTTTTTATTTTTCTATCTTTAGAGTGCTAACTTCACAATTCCCAAATATTCTTTGAGATTTGAAAACATTTTGCTTATAATGATTTCATTTAGGAATAAAATGTAAATCATGCAACACAGGTCTCACTATCCAATTTCCTCATTATTATTCATGTTTATATTGTTCTCATCAACTGAATATTTCAAATCTTTAATACCAATTCCATTCATCACACATCACATACTAGTCAAAGGAATGCAATTATAATATTACTGTTAAAATATAAGCACTCTCTTCCTTGAAATCAGATTATAATAATAAGTGGTCTAGTATTGATATGTTATATGGGTCATATTTTAAAAGCTTTACATGACTATCGGATCAACGTTTCTCTACAGAGCTGAAGTTTCAGTGTTATTCTTCAGCCAAATCTAAAATGTGAAGAAACTATATCCTCTTAAAGGAAATGCTAGTGAAAGAGAAAGCTCCATTTTCCCTTTTCCCTGCATGTGCTGTGCTTGCATTCTGACAAGAAATGCAAAGAGGAAGCAACTAGAACACATTTTTTTTTTAAAAAAATAGGAATTTGATGGAGGAAGGTCATTGGTTAATAAAGAAACTGCCTTGGCCCATTTAATAGGCCAGCCCTTAGGTGGGTGGAGTAAACAGAACAGAATGCTTGAAGGAAGAGGAGGTGAGGTAAGACGCCTTAGACAGATGCTATTTCCTCTCCTCTCTGGGGCAGACGTGATGAAGCTCGGACCCAGGATGGACATAGGCTAGAATCTTCCTGGTAAGCGCACCTCGTGGTGATACACACATTAATAGAAATGGGCCAAGCAGTGTTTATATGAATACAGTTTGTATTTCATTATTTTGGGGCATAAGCTAGCCAGGCGGCCAGGAGCTGGGTGGCAGGAAGCGGGCCTGCCTGCAGCTCCTTCAACAGGAATTGGGCTTGATAGCAATGACTACCCTATTTGTCATCTATTTGGCGGCTTATGATGTTTCAAAAACAGTTCTCCATGTTCCTCTTAACTCCCTTTGCTGCTATTAAGGATAGAAAATATATTTTAGCATCAAAGAGAGCAAGAAACCAAAATACTGAACACCGTGAAATAATGAAATGATGACTAAAGATATGACCATAATTGAAAATGTTCCTTTAATGACTCTACTAACATGGAAAAATTTCTTTTGGTACTTGCAATTCTCATAATTTATTACTGAGATACAATCAGTATTGTCCTACTGGCGCACCTCCATCACCTGAACTCTGAGACGTTGACTCTTTAAGTATTTCATAGATTTTAAATTCCTTCTTTAACAAAAAGTTCCTAACTCTCTAACATCACCAGGGAATATGCGTGAACTGTCCACCTGTTTCTTTCCCTACCCTCTAATCTTCTTAGTTCTACTTGCAATTCAAAATGAAGATCTAAAGAGAGGTGGGAAGAGAGGCAGGGAAAGAACAAGGGAAGAAGTGGCTGAAGGAAAAATAAAGGACTGTAACTCTGTCTGCCATGTGAAGGAGGGATCTGAGAAGACAGATGTGAAACAGGGTGACAAGTTAGAAGGCAGAGACTGCAAAAAAGGAAGGAACGGAGACAACTTTTATGAAGAACAGGACAAGACCCAAAGGTTGAGAAATGTCAGAGAGAAGAACATCTGTGTAGCTAGAGAAATGTCAGTTCTGTTCTCGGAGGCAGTGAGCCCTTGAAGAAAACCAGAATGAGGGCAGAAGCTAGTGACTTCTGCTTTAAGTGCCTATCTCTTGATAGTCACAGTCGAACTTCAGCACAGGGACCTGGAACCCCATGCCTTCAAGAGGTGGCCTCTAGCATATACATGGAGTTGAGACTATGGACTTGCATACATGCCATGGTGGTTTGAGTATGCAGGGCGGATAATACAGTTGGATGAAGGGGAAAAGTTTGATATTTAAGAACAGGAGAAAAAGAAAAATGAGCTTCAAGGAGGCAGAGAACAACAGTCAGGATTTGGAAGTCAAAGGTCAAGAGATAGAGAGGAAAAAACTTGTCAAAAGCTACCAGGAAAGGCCTAGTGGAAAATAATAAAAAAAAAATGTCCTCTGACCCTAAATATCATGGTTTTTACTGCATTCAGTAACAGAAATTGTGGTAGACGTGTATGGACAGGAGCAAGGTTGCGCTTTAGAAATGACTAGGAGTTCAGGAACTGGAAGCAGTAAGTATAGTGTATAGAACACACTATTAAAAAGAAGGGAGAGGCTGGGTACTCAGGAGAGATAGAGACAGAGTCAGGAGACTGGGCTGTTTTATTTGTTTTTAATGTTAAACTTTCAGTTACTGTGTCTGTATGTGTGCATGCAAGATTGATTTTAGGTAATTATTCATGCATAGATCAAAGGCACCTGTGAGGGAGGTTGCCCATGAACAAGGAAGACATAGACCCCTTAATCATCCTTGAGATGGTGTACATATATTGTGAATGGTCGGGTAGAAATTCGAATTCTTTTGTGCAAAGCAGGTATTTTATTTTACCCAGAGAAACAAGAAGATGAACAGAGTGAGTTAGAAAGTGAAGACTGTTACTAGTCATTGGGGTGAATGAAGAAGCGATCAAAAGCAAGTGGAGGGATTTGTACATTAACAGCATCCAGCTGCATGAGGCTGATACCACAACTATGTGGTAAGGTCAATCTGCTTGGTTGTGTAGCTTTCTCAAGTGGCCCTTGGTGAGGAGAACCCTAAGAGAGACATACATAGATCCCCTGTGGAAGGGAAAACAGACAATATATCCTGAGAAGATTGGGAGTGGGTGGGAGAAGTAAAGTGGAGGGGGAGGGGATCAGAGGAGTGGGGCAGAACATGAGGGAACAGGATGTTCAAGAACGAGGAAGGACAGAGAGGGAGAAAAAGGAAAGAGCTATCTTGATTGAGGGAGCCATTAACGGGCTAGAGAGAAACATGGCACTAGGGAAATTCCTAGGATTCCATAAGGATGACCTGAGCTAAGACAGGAAGTAACATTGGAGAGGATGCCTAAACTGGTTTTTCCCTGTTATCAGACTGATCACTACCTTAATTGTTATCATAGAATCTTCATCCAGCAACTGATGGATACATTGCAATATGGTAACTATATATCAATACACAAACATTATATAAGTATCTTAATCAGAGGTAGAAATGTACACTGCAATATGGTAAATATATACAATATATATCAATACAATATATGTCAATACATAAAAAATGTTTTAAACAGAGGTAGAAACATGCATGCATACAATAGTCAATATAATTTCACATTGTATCAATATATAAGAATTGATACCAATATATTTGTCTCAAAACAATAACTCACGAGTACCAACAAGTACCAATCTATTATCCCATCATCCCATTATCCCTCTTTTTTTTTCAAATGATACCTGAGCTTATAAAATTCCTCCCCCAACCCTCAATTGTATATTAATTATAATCAACCCCTAAATGATGTCCCTAAACCCAAGGGCAAACTTTACTGGGAGAGGGGATGTCGTCCTCTAGAATTACTTCCATTTGAACTTATTCTGTTGAGAATTCTCTGTTCAGATCAGTGCCCCATTTTTTAATTGGGTTAATTAGCATTTTAAAGTCTAGTTTCTTGAGTTCTCTATATATTTTGGAGATCAGACCTTTGTCTGTTGCGGGGTTGGTGAAGATCTTCTCCCAGTCAGTAGGTTGCCTTTGTGTCTTAGTGACAGTGTCCTTTGCTTTGCAGAAGCTTCTCAGTTTTAGTAGGTCCCATTTATTCAATGTTGCTCTTAATGTCTGTGCTTCTGGGGTTAGGTATGGGCATTTCTTTGCCCAAAGACCAGTTCAGCCAAAAAGGAAGGCTCCAGGTAGAGTGTCTTTGGTGTTCAACATTCTGTCGGGAAAAGATTGGTGCTGCCAGGAGCAATTGTGTCTCACTATCACAAAACTCTGAGTTAGATTAAAGGCCATTTTCTACAGCTCTTTGAAGAGGTTGAAGATTATCTATCTATACTGAGTATAATCTCTATATATCTAAAGAACCTGATTAGTCTAATTATAAATGACAAACTTAAATGACTATTGATCTATATAATTCTCAATATCTATCTAACTTAAAGACTAAGACAATAAACAACTGTGTAACAAATGAGGATAATGACCTCCAAATATAAACAATGTACAAATATACATTGCAATATGGTAACTATATATCAATACACAAACATTATATAAGTATCTTAATCAGAGGTAGAAATGTACACTGCAATATGGTAAATATATACAATATATATCAATACAATATATGTCAATACATAAAAAATGTTTTAAACAGAGGTAGAAACATGCATGCATACAATAGTCAATATAATTTCACATTGTATCAATATATAAGAATTGATACCAATATATTTGTCTCAAAACAATAACTCACGAGTACCAACAAGTACCAATCTATTATCCCATCATCCCATTATCCCTCTTTTTTTTTCAAATGATACCTGAGCTTATAAAATTCCTCCCCCAACCCTCAATTGTATATTAATTATAATCAACCCCTAAATGATGTCCCTAAACCCAAGGGCAAACTTTACTGGGAGAGGGGATGTCGTCCTCTAGAATTACTTCCAGCTGTCATGGGGGCAACGTTATTTCTGGGGGATCCTGTGAAAGTAAAAATGATGGATAAATTTCAAGATCAATGTCTTTTAAAGTTGCAAATAGTCTCTGAGTATTTTGTGCAGGTCTGGCCAAAATGTTGTATGTGCACCATTTCAGCTAACCAAGTTGGAACTGTCTTGTACAGCTGGTACCCAAAGCAGGTCTTGTAGTAGGGCTATCAGTATCATGATGTCATATCAACCAGGTGGAGTTGTTGTTATGGGGCCCCATCTTCTTCCTGGAAACTTCAAATGTCACTTCAGGAAAAATTCATTGTTCATTGTGAAAAACTTAAACATTAATCATATAGACATATATATATATTCAATGAAAGGCATGATAGATATATTCAATGAAAAGTATGATAGATATGAAAAAAAGCAAAGTTGTTTTCTAAACTCATTTTTCTTTCTGTCCCATATCATGGCTCTTGACATGAGACAGAAACTCCAGAAACTCTGGGTTTTTCTCTTACTAACAGGCTTGGAATTGGAGAGGGACTGAGCCAGAGTCCAACTTCAAAACCAGCTCTATAAATTTAGAAATATGGTTTAATATATTTTACTTACACAAATATTCAGTTTTCTTGATATTTCCTATTGGGCAGGTATTTTTCCATCTGTCAGAATCCAAACATCCAGGGTCCCTTGAATTTTTCAAAGATGAGTGTTTTCCTGTGGAGATAAAAACAGAACCCTGCCCACATTCTATATGGTTTTCTTACTACCTGTATGAATATCATCATTGTGGATGAGTTGTCATTTCTCCTTTCCAGGAGGTTTCTCCTCTTCAAATCGAAACTTTATTAATTTTGATGGTATCCACAATTTTTCTTCTCCTGTGGAAACAAGAGCAAAACCCCTTCCCCAATGTAGCACATCTCATGGCTTCCATTGAGAGGTCTGCACATCTTTGAAATAAATCGGTTGATTTAGTTCAGTAGACTTTTCCATTATCCAATGTCTTTCTGCTGCTGTAGTTCCTTTCTCATTAGCGTTAAGAAAATTCAAGGTTAATAAAGCATTATGTAATCTATTTCTGGGGGTATTTTTTGTCCCTTTCTGTTTGTTCAGCATATCCTTTATAATACGATTTGATCTTTCTATAACTGCCTTACCTGTAGGATTATTAGGCACACCTGTAATGTGTTTTATATTATAATAAGCAAAAAAGCGTTTCATTTTCTTAGATACATATGCTGGACCATTATCTGTCTTTATTTGTGCAGGTATACCCATGATGGCCATAACTTCCAATAAATGTGTGATTACTGAATCAGCCTTTTCTGAGCTCAGGGCTGTAGCCATTGAAAACCTGAATACGTGTCTATGGTGTGGTGTACATATTTTAATTTACCAAATTCCATAAAGTGGAACACATCCATCTGCCAGATTTCATTTCTCTTAGTACCCTTTGGGTTACTCTTTGCAGGCAACGGTGTTTGATTATAGAAAGAACAAGTAGGACATCTCTTTATAATGTCCTTAGCTTGTTGCCAAGTAATGGAAAATTCTTTCTTTAGGCCTTTACTATTGACATGATGCTTCTTATGAAATTCTGAGGCCTGCAACACACTTCCAATCAATAATTGATCAATCTCAG